CAGGAAGTCAGGGAGATGGGAGCGCCCCATCCAGGAGGCTGAGAAGGGGCAGCCAGGTAGGGGAGGGGAGCCAGCGGGGGTCTCAGGGAAGCCAGATAAGGATGGTCTTTGCAGGAAGAAGATTGGCCGTGTCACTGGCCACCAAGGGATCAGGTGGGAGAGGGCTAAGAAGGGACCACTGGGTGAGTAAGGGGCAGGGGCAGTGAGAAGGGAGGGACCAGACCTGGTGGGCACTGGTCAGGCAGGATGGGGGATAGACGGCTCTTCTGAGGCACAGGGCACCAGGCAGTAGCTGGAGGCGTTCGAGGCCAAGAGGATTTTCTCAATGTGGGGAAAATAATGACACGTTTGCATTCCCGGGAGAATGATCCGGAAGAAAGGCAGATGTTGATGATTTGGGGGAGGGGGGATTGTGGGAGCCAAGCCTGAGGGTGAGGGGCCGGGCCAGGAGCACCCAGTTGTCTCTAGTAGCAGGCGGCCTGCGCCGTGTGCCAGGGCAGATGCTGGTAGGTGGGTAGATGTGACGGTGGCATCTGTGGAAGATCCCTTCTGGTTGCTTCCTTTTCTCAATGGAAAAGGAAGCGAGGTCATCAGCTCGGGTGAGGATGGAGAGGAGGCGTTGAGGGGTTGAGCAGAGCGGGTGGGAAGTGGTTCTCCAGGGAGATGGGGAGGGACCAGATCAGGAAATGGAGTAAGGTTTCCAGGTCCGCTCAAGGGCTGCAGGGGCCTAAAGGGAGACCTGGTGGCTATGCTTTCCCGGCTCCCGTGGGTTGCAGGCACTGAGTGGTAAGGAGCTACCCAAAGCAGGGTAGGGGTGGCCCCAGTAGGACAATAAAGAGATGGGCAAGGGGCAGGCCATGCAAGGCAGTGCTCCAGTGAGGACAGGGTGGTTGAGAGGCTATGAGAAGCTGAAGGGACATTGGAAGGAGGGAGCTGGAAAGAGAGGAGGCAGTGGACAGAAAGAGGGTGTCAAAAGTGGGATTGCTATGAGGTGGGTCATTGGTGATGGCACAGGCAGACATCCACAGTGGGTCAGAGAGCTGGGCTGGGGCAGTGGGCCTTGCTTTCCCCAGCCCCCCTCAGGCACCGTGGACACCTGTACTGAGACACTTCCTGCCCCTTTGACCACCCACCCATTCTTTCAGCAAGTGTTTGTGCCAGCTTGGTGCTGGGGTCCCATGGGCCCTGCTCCCCACATTCCCCTCTCCGAGCCCTCGTCTACAGCAGCCAATGCTCCATCTGTGCATCTCCTTTCCATAGGCACTTAGGCTGGAAGATGTCACCAGGGCCCGAGGCTGGGGCCGGGGAGGCCTGGGTTTCCTGCCCTGACTCATCAGGTGATGTGACTAAGATATTTGTGTAACATCCAGGTCTGATGAGGACTAGGGAGCGATGGGCCATGACCTGCAGAGAGTGGGCATGGAGAGATGCATTGGGACAGTGGCCACTGTCTTGGGTGGCCCTGCCCCTGCTTGCCTTCCTTGGACCCCAGAACCTCCCTACTTACCCCTGTTCCTCTCAGTGGGCCAGGGTCCCCAGGTTCCAGTCATTCTTTCCAGCAAGCCATTGCTGCCAGGGCTGCCAGGAACTCAGAGTCAGCTGTGCTCTTCTGAGACCCATGCCCCAGAGGCCATGGGCCCCTCCAGCCCGTGGCCAGAGAGCCCTGCTACTAGCCCAGGGTTGCCCTGGGCGCTGGCCTCAAAGAGAAGCAGCAGATGCAGCCCCTCCTGTGCCCAAGGAGAGCACATGGCGGCGTCAGGGCCAAAGCGGGCAGCCAGTGGTGGGGTAGAGAAGAGGCCTCTCGACCCAATAGGAGGTCAGGGAGGGCTTCTTGGAGGAGGTGGAGAGAGTGAGCTAAAGGGCAGAGAAGGGCCATGTTCTGACCAGGAGCTGCAGGATGTGCAGAGGGCCGGGGGGCTCTGCCCCATCCACCTGCCCAGGTGGATATCCTGCTTTGCCCTGGCCCTGGGCAGCCCCTCAGTCTGCCCACCCACTAAGGGCCCACTGGGACATGGTGCCACCAGGCCCCAGCACACAATGGGATTTTGGCAGTGTGGGAGCAGTGGACTCAGGGCTGCAGCCATCTGCTGCGGCGAGATGAAAACGCCTCCTTGCGGTGCCTCCCGACCCCTGCCTGTCTCTGGGCGGAAGGGAGCCCACCACGGCCATCCCCCACCCCCACCCCTGCCCCCAGGACCCAGTGGGGCTGCAGGGCAGGGCAGGGCATGGAGCCGAGTGGGAGCCCCTGGGTGACCCTTGGTCAGCAATCTGAGGAGCTGCTGCACCCCCCAGGGGCTGCTGGCATGCTTCACAGCTGCTGAGACCCAGTCCCATTGTTCGGGTTCCCTGGTGCCGCTCTGACAAGAAAACACCACAGATGGACGGCCTTAACAAACAGGAGTTTATTCTTACAATTTGGAGGCTTTAAGTCCAAGTTCAAAGTGCCAGGCTCTAGGGGCTGGGGGAAAGCCCCTCAACCTTGGAGTCCAGCTCTGCCTCCTGCTCCCGGCCCACTGGAGCTAGAGGCATTTCTTCACTCAGACAGCTGCTGGCTGCTGAGGCTGAGAAGCCCCAAGGTTGACAAGTAAAAAGGTACAGTCCCAAAGTTACCAAACCACATGGCAGGCCATTGACTTAAGTCCATTGTAAGTCCCAAGGTGGGCAGAGCATAGCAGGCTGCTGAGCAACGACACGGCTCCACGCAGGGTCCAAGCGTGCCGTAGGCTCGAGACCATTCTCAAAGCTGCTGCTTACACACAGGAAGCAGACCACAGCCCAAAGGCAGCTACTCAGCTGCTCACAGTAGATCCCACGATGGAGCTGATTACCAGTCTCATCATGGGGAATAACTACCACCAGCTGCCCAGCCACTCGACCAGGCCCAGCCAAGTTGACACACCAACATAACCACCACAGCCACACATCGGGGGGCTGGAAGCAACAGAAACTTGCTTTCTCAAGTTCTGGGTCCAGGGGCTGGGGGGCCAGCTCCCCTTCGGAGGCTCTGAGCGGGAGGCTGTGCCTGCCCCTCTCCCAGCATCCGGAGTCTGCAGTGACTCGGGTTCCGAGGCTCGTAGCTGCATCCTCCCGTCTCGGCTTCCCAGTCTGTGTGGCCTTCCTCCCTGTGCCTCTCTGTCCTCTCCCCTTCTCCTAAGGACCCAGTCATCAGACCAGGGGCCTTACTCCAGTGTGGCTTCATCTTAAATAATTCCATTTACAAAGACTGCTGTCCAAGTAAGGGCACGTTTGGCAATTGTTTTTTTATACATGTTTTTTGGGGACATTCTAAAACCCATTGCAGGGATTGTCCTACTCAGTCAGTGACAGAAGTTCGTTCCTTCACCAGGCCTCCATTCCTCGTTGTAGCCCCACAGGTCAGCACTGCAACGGTCTCCTCACCTCATATGTGCACATGCACACGCACACATATGCACACACACGAACAATACACATGTCTGCGTACATACACACATATACATGTGTGCATGGCGCACATGCATGCTCATGCACGTATTACACACATGCATACACAATGCACACGTGCACGTGTATGTGTTTACACACATGGGCACACATGCACATGCACACACATGTACACGTACACAGATACACACACATAGACAAGCACACATGCACGCCTCGGCGTCCCCTCAGGTGCCATCTGGGCCCCGCCCCCCCCCGCCCCAGCCTTCCTTTGACCCTGCTCAAGCCACTTTCCCTCTTGGGCTCTCAGTCTCTCCCTGTCAGACTGTCTGTGGTCCGCCCTCCCACCTCTGAGCCTCCTGGGAACTGAGGGCGAAAGGTTCCGAGTGATCATCACGCCGCTGTGTGGGAGGCTGTGACTCCCCTCAAATCTGCCACCTCAAAGTGGCGGGGAGCCACCAGCTCTGAAGGGGGCCCCACTCGGGCCCTGTGACCTCCGGGAGGCCCTGTGACCTCAGGGCCTTGTTCCTTGAGCACTGGGAGCATCGGTTTCCTCATCTGTAAAGTGGTTGTGAGGAGTAGCTGAGACACTGTGTGCCTGGAGCGGGGTGGGCACTCGGAGGTGCTGGCTGATGGTTGACGCCAACAGCTGAGAGGTCTCGAGGGCTTTCTGTGGGAGCTGTGGAGGACAGGAGGAGCAGAGACAACCCAGCCCGGCTGTCGAGTGACTCCGACTCGTGACGCACGTGAGCCCCGCGGAGCTGTGCTGCACGGGGTTTTCAGTGGCTGCCTTGTCGGCCAGGAGGTCGCCAGAACTTTCTTCAGAAGCACCCCTGGGTGGATCTGAACCCCCAGCCTGTTGGTTGGCAGCCGAGCATGTTAACTACCACCAGGGCCTCCTTGGCAGATGCAACGGTCAGGAGACAAGCAGAAGAGAGGCGGCCGCGTCCACCCAGCCCTGAGTTCCTAAAGGGCTTGTCCCCGGCTGCTCCTGCAGGAGGACTGGTGACACCGAACCTTGTGCATGGGACACGGGCTGGGCTGGCCCGGCAGGTGCGGCCAGAGGTGTGTGCAGGGGGTTCTGCAGGCCCCTGCCAGGCCCACGTGGGTACCCAGAGTCTGTCTGTCACAGGCTGCCCCAAGGAGCCACGCAAGGGTGCAGTGGGGAGAGGATCCGCTGGGTCTGAGCCAATCTGGGCAAGCACCCTCTCCCAGGGGCACTGTGGATGCAGGGAACCACAGATGGTGGCACCTCTGGGGGCTGGCACCTGGTCTCTGCTGGCAGGTACTGGCACTGTCTCTCTGGCTGTGGACACTGGAGGCAGCACGAGTGCCGTCCCTAGGAATGCACTGATGGGCCAGTATTACAGGGGAGGAGGGGGTTGGCGGGGTGTGTTGGCCACTCCCAGTTACCCAGCCCCAAGGCAGCACGAGTGCCGTCCCTAGGAATGCACTGATGGGCCAGTATTACAGGGGAGGAGGGGGTTGGTGGGGTGTGTTGACCACTCCCAGTTACCCAGCCCCAAGCTAGGCCCCGGGTGTTGGCAGTCCGCAGCCAAGGTCACCCTCACGCCACCATGGCCTCGGCCACGTGCATTCAGCAGCATCAGCCCAGCCGAGCTCTGCCCCAGACACGGCGGGGCTCTGGGTCGACGTGGACAGGGCAGCAAGTTCGCAGAAGGTAGTCAGAGGTCACTGTAGGGCTTCAGACCAGGGCGGAGCCAGAGGAGGAAGGCCACCTGAGAGGGGACGTCCAGGCGGGCGGCCCACAGGAGGAAGGGCCGGCCTGAGGAAAGGCCGCAGAGGCTGTCCCTTCGAGGAAGCTACGAGGACAAAGGTGGACAGGTCCTCAAGGTGACCCCTGCCCAGTGCCGTCCAGAGTGTACGTTTGGAGGGCTTGCCTGGGAGGTGTGTGGCCCAGGACAAGGCCAGGCTGTCGGTGGGTCCCTGGGGCAGGGGTTTGGGGTGGACTTGAGGGTTAGTCTCCATCCAGCAAGGAGTCACGGGGGAGTTTGGACCAAAGCAGGACATAGTCCTGCTGCTGGGGGGAGATTGGGGTGCAGGAGGCAGGGTAGGAGTAGGGAGACCCCCTACCTGGCACTCACTGACACACAGGATAGCACCTCGGCCCTGGGGACGCTTGTTAGCACCAGGGGAGCAGCGAAAGACCCCCCGGACGTGGGAGCGGTGATGCCCGGCTCCCCACCAGCGGCGCTCAGTGAGGAGGGAGCATGGGCTGCTGGCAGAGGGGACAGGGACAGAGTCACCGAGATGAGAAATCACTGCGGCCTGCAGAGAATGACAAGCGGCGTGACGTTGCTGGAGCCCAAGTCAGGCCGGGCCGAGCTCTGCGCTCAGGGCCACCGCCCAGGCCCTCGGGCCCCTGACCGCCCGGAAGGCTCTTGGCATCTTAGGAGCAGAGGGTGGGATTCCCCGCGGTCCAGCCCGAGGAGCAAGCTCCACCAAGGCTCTCCAGGCTGCTCCCGCCGGCCCTCTTCCAGAGTGAGGCTACAGCCCACAGGGCCACCTCTGTCCCCACTGTGAACCCTCCGGACAGAGCTCTGGGCACCGTGTCCCCAGCAACAGTCCCCAGCAGGGAAGGTCTCCTCCTGGCCCATAAGTTCTACCAGGGAGTACGGGGAGCCAAACACCCAAGGCCAGGGCCCCAAGTAGCCCATGCAGCGGAAGACAGGGACTTCTGGGCTCCAGCCTGACCCTGAGGGGAGCGTCCCTGCCCCATGAAGGACCTTGTTTGAGCTTCCATCAGCAGGGCCAGGTCCTTCCAGGTCCCAAGGACCAAGGAGAAGCCAGCGCTTAAAAGGAAGGGTAGTGAGGGGCCAGGGAGGACCCCAGGCCTGTTCCCGGAAGCCCCTTTGCCTGCTGCATGGAGGAGCAGAGGCTCCCAAACAGGAAAGTACAGGCTAAGAGGAGGGTCTGGAAGGACACACAGAGAGGAAAGGGCATCTTCAGGAGGAGGAATCAAGGAAGGCTTCTTGGAAGAGGTGGTTTTTCAGTGGAGCCTCTCGAGATTGGAGAGGCTCTGGAGGTGGGAAACCGGCAGCAGGGGCCTTCCAGGGGTGGGGAGGGGACAATGAGGATGAAGGTCTGGAGGATGTCCAGGCATGTGACCACATTTTGGGAGAAACCGAAAAGGAAGGGGGACAGTTGTCCCTTCAACAGGGAAGGAAAGGGACTGTCTAGCCCAAGAATCACATGTCCTGTGATTGAGGTCGTCCACCAAGGGCAGAGCCGGGGGCCAGAATTCCAAGTCCAAACCAGAAACCAAGCCCTTGGCCCCACCCCATCCCCCTCAACGTGCTCATGCCACACCCTCCTGCTCCTCTCTGTGGATCAGCTCAGGAAGCGAGGGGCTGGGGGAGCCCAGTGCCAGGAGCCCGCTGACCTCGGCTGCCCCTCAGCCCGTGAAAATGACACACAGGGTGGCTTTTGGGGGGAGGAGGGACCAGGGGTCCCCTTAGTAGCTGTTTTGCCGGTGTGTCTGTCTTCAGGATAGAAAACACGACAAATCCCGAAAAGTGTGAAGGAACATTTTTCAGTCACCCAAGAGTGCCCCTCCCAGGCCTCGCAGTGAAACCCCGCCAACCCCGTGATCCTGTCACTTCACGTGGGTGTCGGGCAGCTTGAAGGGCTCGTGCACAGTGACCAGCTGTTGGCGGCTGGAACCCACCCAGCTGTGCTGCAGAGGAAAGGCCTGGAGACCCGCCTGCAGCCGGGGAAAGGCCGCGGGGAAGTCCTCTCCGGCAAACACAGCTTAGCGTGCGTCTGGATCTGCGCAACGGCAACGTTTTGAGTTTTGGGGTGTTTTTGGTGTGAATAAGCACTTACTTTAAAGATGGAATGGCACCGCGCTTTCTCTCCACACAGCCATCTCCCCACCTCTCAGTGCCTTCTGGGGGCCTGAGCACCGTCTCAGTCCCGCCTGAGGCCCTTGTGGGACCCCGTCTCTGCACTCGCCTTTTTAAGGCCTGGGTGCAGATCCTGTTGCCCTCCTGCGGGGTGCACCTCTCCGCACTCGGGCCGGATGAGCGTGTTTGCCTCTCTCCTGCCTGCCCACTCAGGCCACAGGTAGAGCTGGGTGAGCAGGGCCAGGGGAGGGCGACGTGGGACCCTGACATCCATCAGACCCGCAGCCTGCAGGGACCACCCCAGCTCCCACACACGTCAGCCCTTCAGGTGGGAACCACCCTGTCCCCCCACCCTCTTCCTCTGGGGTCTCCAGCCAGTGAGTCCTGCACAGGAAGCAGGGGCAGATGGGGTCCCAGTTCTGTAACTGGGTGGGGGTCTGGCTGACCCAGAGCAGGGAAGTGGGGGAGCCAGCCCCTCGAGAGAGGAAGGACTCCGGCCTGCTTACCCAGCCCGTGGCGGGCAGAAGAGGAGGCCCGGGTGCTCAGATGCCTGTCCCCTCTGGGGAGTGGCCATGAGGGCCGGCCAGGCCCCAGGCCTGCAGCTCTTCCTCCAGTTCCTCCCCGCCCCCACCTGGCGGATGACGGAGTTTTCCTGGTAGAGGAGGGGCACACTCTGCCTCTCCTGGTCCTGCACCTGGCACGGGTGTGCAGCTGAACCCGCGGGCGCCCGCCCGCCTGAGCGGCTCTGTCCTCTTCGCCTACAGGCTGCGCAGCCCCTGGGTGCCCTCGTGCCTTGGGCAGCCCCACGTCCTGCAAGGCCGGCTGGCCAGGTCCTCACCCTCACTCTGGGACAGGTAACATACCTGTTGTCTTCCCCTAGCTCCTTGCTGTCTCTGCGTCTGTCCCCAGACGTCCGTCCCCTGTCTTCGTCCGGCTTCCCGGGGACAGATGGGGAGTGTGAGGTCCAGAGCAGGGCAAGGTCACTCCTGGGATTCCATCACCACCGCCGTGCCACCCTCTGCCCTTGGGCTCGGGCCCCTGAAGGCAAGGAGGGGCTCCTGGAGGAGCAGGGGAAGAGGAGGTGTCCTCAAGGGGGGACAGTGCTGCGGGGCTCCCCATGGGCAAAGGGGGACCCAGAACCAACCATACACACAGGCTGTCAGCTTAGGTTCAGGCCCTGGTCTAGCTCACCAGGGACAGGACAGAAGCAGGTGGCCTCACACAGCGGAGCAGGGCGTGAACCCCAGCAGGGCGTCCCCAGCCCCCCGGAGCCCCCAGACCCCAGAGCCAGGTGCACGGCTGCTGGGGACGCCAGTCCTAAGCAGGAAAGTGCCGTCACGAAGGCCTTCACACCCCCGTGTATGTCTGTGAAGGTGCTCTGGTGGTGCTGTGGTTAAAGCATTCAGCTGCTAACCAAAAGGTAAGCGGTTCGAACCACCAGCTGTTCTGAGGAAGAAAGATGAGGCAATCTGCTTCCATAAAGATTGTTATTGTTATGTGCCGTCAAGTCGGACCGACTCATAGCAACCCCTCCTTGGGTTTCCGAGGCAGTATCACTACGGATAGTAGATTGCCCAACCTTCCTTCCGAGGAGTGGCTGATGAGTTTGAACTGCCAGCCTTCTGGTTAGCAGTCAAGTGCCTTAGGCACTATGCCACCATAAAGATTACAGCCGTGGAAATGCCACGAGACAGTTCTACTCTGTCCTATGTTGTTGTTCTGTGCTGTTGAGTCAGACCCGACTCATAGCAACCCCTCCGTGGGTTTCCGAGGTGAATCTCTACAGAAGTAGATTGCCCAACCTTCCTTCCGGGAGTGGCTGGTGGGTTTGAACCACCAGCCTTCTGGTTAGCAGTCAGATGCCTTAGGCAGTATGCTGTAAGGTCACTATAAGTTGGAACTGACTCAATGCAGTGGGTTTCGGTTTTGTATGTTAAGGGGCTGTCTCCCTGACCCACCTCGGTTCCTTCGAGACCACATCCTTTTCTGGGGGGCCATGGAGCCGTGGGTTTCTGAGCATTGTCTCCCCAGATTCCCAGTCACCAGGAGCCCCCACTTCCCCAGGCCCTGTTTTTTCCCCGATGGTTCTATGCCAAGCATGGGGCAAGAATGTGACGGCCAGCCCTGCTCCCCGTGTGGGTATGAGTCTCTCTGCTCTGCAGACAGGGAAACTGAGGCTGAGGCCAGGCTGTGACCACAGACCAGGTACCCGTCCAGGCTCTCCATGGCCAGATCAGAGAGACAAGCCAGAGCTTCTGGGAAGCTGCGCTGCTAGGACTGGGTGAGGCGGGCCCGCCACAGCCCGAGGACTCTGCCCAGGGACCGGGGGTGGCCGTGCCCATCCCGTCATGGGGAGTGGGAGGGCGAGGAGGGCGGTGGCAGTGCTCAGTGTGGGCTGTGTTGAGTGGGAGATGCAGGTGGCTTGTCCATGTGGACAGGCCGGTGGTGGCCAGACCCCACTGGAGATACAACCTGGGAGGGACCCGTGTGCTGAACGTGAGATGGGTCTCAGAGATATCCCCCGAGCTGGGGTGGGGGGTGGGGCTGGGGGCTCTGGGGCAGACATGTAGGAGGAAGCAGGCCCAAGGAGACAGGCTGAGGGACACGGAGCCCAGAAGTGACCTTGGAGGGCAGTGAGAGGGAGTGTTACCTCAGAGGACCGGGGACAGAGGGTGGACAGGGCCAGGCACCTGGGTGAGAGCCTGCAGGGAGAAGGCAGGAAGGGCACAGGACTCCAGTGGGGGCAGGCTGGAGGGCTGACGTGGTGTCACTCAGTGTCTGAGAGGCCACCTGGAGCCGGGAGGACACTGAGGCTCAGGTGGGCCAGCTCTGTGTCAAGGGAACGCTGTGTCAGGTGTTGCCTCCCCCAGGGGGTCTGGCCCTACCCCTCGTGCACCCCTCCCATGCCCCCTTCACGAATCTGGGTGCTTGTCACCGCCTACCTTCCGGGCCCAACGGCTCTGTGGGGCAGGGGCTGCTGTGGGCACTGGGTACAGAGCAGGGCAGGGCGCAGAGGAGAGGAGGGACGGGGGTGCTCGGTGCAGGCCAGAATGGGCAGTGGGAGGCGGGGTGTGTCAGGTAGTAGGTTTCTGGGCCAGGACAGGTCTGAACTATGACTGGGGGTGGGGGAGCCTGCAGGGGCCCCCCGTCTGGGCAGAGTGGGCTGAGGGGATGCACTTAGCTGGGTGTGGAGAGAGCTGAGGAACAAGGGTCAAGGCCACAGAGGCTGGTCCGTGCCAGCTCAAGTGTGTGCTCCTCAGGTGGGGGGCGTCTGCCGAGAGAGCAGGACTGAAGTCTTGTGGGTGGATGGACAGTGCTCACCGTTGCCTGGGGGTGTAGCACCCTCTGTGAGTGTCCTCACACTGCCCCCAGGGTGGAGAGGATGGGGCTCAGAGCCCAGGGCCAGCCAGAACCAGCCAAGGCTCTGGGACCAAGAACCAGAGTTGTGGCCCAGGCCCTGCCTCCTACCAAGGTGGGCCCAGAGTAGGCAGGTGCAGGGCGAGTGGCTGCCAGTGCCCACAGACCTACACACAGCCACCTGGGGTCCATATATGCTGTGTTGTCTGTCTGTCTTATCTGTTTGTCTATCCCCAGGCTGGTGGCTCATCTGTTTGGTGACCCTGCACTGACCCCGTGGCATGCAGTGTGTGAATATGTGGCCATTGTGGACCCTGTAAGGCTTTGGAGACCATAGCGCCTGGTGGAACCCTTAGGGCGTCCTCATCCAGGTGCCCCCAGTCCATCTGCTGAAGCCCCCAGGGGGCAGAGCAGCCCTCCCCTGGTGCCCAGACTCACTTCCTTCTGGGTTGATGTGTGAGTCACACGTACTGGGCCGCCCAGCCAGCCCACCTATCTGGGCTTTGTGGGCTCCCTAGCCCCACTGGGAGAAAAGGCTGTTTGAGAAGCAGCCTGGGGTGGGGGGCAGTAAGGGCTCGGCTGGGAGAGCTGGGCAGTCAGGAAAGGCTGCCTGGAGGAGGCAGGATGAAAGCACCAGGCAGGTGGGCTGGATGGGCATCAGGCACTCTGGTCCTGGGCTTCCCAGTCGCACCCCACCCCCCGAAGCCCCTGCATCCTCTTTGAGGCCTGCCCTTCTCTGAGGTTCATAAAAACTAGAGAAACTTTTATTTTTATTAATTTTTTCAATATAGAGACCTGGGCAGGAATCCAGGAAGCAAACTCAGGGTTTGCTGGATGTGGCTGCAGTAACCATGAGGCTTCTTCCCAGAGCCCCCGACCGAAACACCTGCCCGGGGCCCTTGGCACAGGAGGGCACTTCCTAACAGCCACCCCTCTAGCCAGCTCAGGTCTGGGGGCTGGCAAGCCCAAGAGGGTGTGCCTTTGCCCCAGAACACAGCTTACGGGCAGAGCTGGGGCTCCCAGTTCCAGCAGGACATCAGGGAAGTTCCCGCCTCCCAGCCCCACAGCAAACCTGCCCATCCCAAACAGGGTTACAGTCCCAAAGGGGGTTGGCTCCCCGTGGTTGTGCTGCCAGCCTAGGCAGGGAGCTCAGGCGCCCTCTTTGCCGGGCAGTGGTCCCCTGGGATTCTTCAGAGCCGAGGTTCATGACATCCCCCGCTCTGCTCCTGGGGCTGCACCGACCGCCAGCCGGGCCTCCTGGCTGGTGATACGCCCAAGGCACTGGCAGTGCCAAGCTCTGTGCCCAGCCCAGGCCCCCCCACCAGGCTGTTGAACCCCTCAGCCTCAGTAGGATAGGTGTCCGTCCCCACTTGCCAGGGGCGGCTGAGGCTTGGGGTGAGTGGGCAGCTTGGGGTGCAGGGCTGAGACCAACAGTGGGTCTGGGTGTCAGCAGAGCCCCCTGCCGGTGCTGGGAGGCTGTCTGCCGGCACCCCTTGGCTCTGGGCTGTAGTGTGGGGGGACAGGGGCACAGTGGCTCTGGCCTGTGGTCAGCGGGGTCAAATGACCCCACGACCCTGGACAGGAGCTTGAGTCTTTGCTCCACCTGTCCGAGGCCCAGCAGGCCTCACAGTCCGCCTGCCCGGTCCCCTCACTGTACAGCCCCCTCCCCCAGCCTCCTGTCCCTTCCGTGGTGCTCATCCGGCCACTGGCTGCCCCCCCCCCGGGTTCTAACGGGCTGAGAAGCCGTGGGGCCCATCACAGCATCGCGCTGCTATTCTCCTGGCCACTGGAAGGTCAGCGTCACACCGGCTGGCAGCAGGAGGGTTTGGAGAGCGGGAACCAGACTGACTGACTTAGCTGTGTGACTTTGGGCAAATATTTGACTTCTCTGAGCCTCAGTTCCCCGTCGGTAAAATGAGTATAGTTATCACCCTGCCTTATAGAGGGCGGCTGAGAACTGAGGACCCTCACAGCCCTTGGAAGGGAGCGCACTGGGTAGGTGGCAGTCCACGGAGGACAGAGCTGGGTCCTCGGGCAGAGGCCAAAGCTGTAAAGCTTCAACCAGTAAATGGACCCACATACAGGTCACCGTGTGTTTACCAAGTAGCTGCTGCGCTCTGGGCTAGGTGGGCAGGAGCGCGTGGCCCCGGCCGTGGTGGAGCTCACAGCCAATCCCCTGGGTGGCGCCCACCCACGCCTTCCCTTCCTGATCTGGCTACGTTGGTTCTGGTGACTTGACGGCAGCCGGCAGCTCAGTAGTGCAGTTGATCCTCTGTCTCCTTGGAGCTGAGGGTCACCTGTTCCCCGCGCGAGTGCAGGGCTCAGGGACCTGGGGCCACACCCTGAGGAACCCCCAGTTGGTGGGAGAAAGTGGAGCCTCCAAGGGTGTTCCCCCGGGCTACCAGCCTTCCTGGAGAAAGCCACCTGGCCCGGCAGTAGCTGAGTTCTTGCTGCGGGCCTCAGTTTCCCTCCTTCACCGCGGCCGCCTGGGCGGACTGACCCACCCTCTCCTTGGCCCAGAGGGGCGCAGCCTGCTGGGCCCGGCGGCTGGGGCCACACGGCCGATTCCGGAAAGCCCTGGTCCTGGGGCGGCGCTGCCACTCGGGACGCCCGTCAGAAGTCAAGTGCCATCCGAGGTCACTCGGGGCAGAGGGACAGCTCGGTGCTGGCGGAAGCTGCGGACACCCCCCACACGCTCGCCGGCTTCCTGGGCTCCCGCCATTTCTTCCAGCCGGGCGGTGCTCCCAGGCGACCCCAGAGGGCTTTCTTTCTGACGGGGACGCTCCCCAGCGCCGCCTGGGGGTGTGTGAGGGGGCCGGGTACAAACTGCGCCCCGGCTGCGCCGCGGGCCCCGGCTTCCCGGCTCAGCGCCGCGGCCCGGCCCCCACCGCGTGTCGTTGCAGCGCGTTGCAGGAGCAGAAGGGCGAGCTGCGCAAGCGGCTGTCCTACACGACGCACAAGCTGGAGAAGCTGGAGACCGAGTTCGACTCCACGCGCCACTACCTGGAGATCGAGCTGCGGCGCGCGCAGGAGGAGCTCGAGAAGGTCACGGAGAAGCTGCGCAGGTGAGAAGGGAGGGACCAGGGGAGAGGGGCGGGGCCCGGGCGGGAGAGGGGCGGGGGCCTGTGTGCGAGGGGCGGGGCAAGGTGGAGGGGCGGAAGAGGGGCGGGGCCTGTGTGCGAGGGGCGGGGCACAACGCCGGGTGATCAGCTTCCTAGCAAGGTGTTGTGGGCTGGAAGTGGCAAGATGCTGCTTCGCCAAAGTTCCACTTAGTGCCGAAAGCAACAAAGCTAGGATTTGAACCCCGGTCTGGCTGCTTTTCCCACTGAGCCCCGGGTCCCAGATGGGAAGAGCGCTGGTCTAGCCCGGGTGTTCATAGTGTTACCATGGTGTTAACATTGTGTTCAGGGACCCTGCCTTGGGGCAGCGCGGGCTAGTGACCTCCCGGCTGTGCTGGAGGCTAATTACTCCTTTAAGAACCACAGGCGAGTTTTCTCCTGCACATTTAAGTGGAGATCCTAGAACTTAGCACACCCTGGGCCTTCTGAACTTCTGAAGCGATGGTGGCCCACGAAGGCTGCCTGGCTCCTTGTGTTTAAAAGTCTACAGGGCATGGCTGGGGCGCTGCCTCCCCGAGGGCACTTGCCAGGGGCTGTTGGCCCCTCTCTGAATGGCTCAGCCTGCGGGCTTTTTGAATGTCACTGTCAAGTGAGAACAAAGTTTAGGCTTTGGGTTGTACCATGTGCTGTTTTGGGTACCTCTAGCCTCAGTTTCCCCATCACCAAGATGGGGCACTAACCCTGCGCTCTGGCTACTGAGAGACTCCACGCTGACCCCACGCCCCTATCACCTTCAAGGTGGAGCGGAAGCACAAACCACCCACTCCCACCCTCCTCCTGGGTGGAGACATGACTCATGCACTGTTTCCCCATCACATAGCCAGTCCGCGTCTCTGCCCGGCTGACCTGCTGCTGCTGGGGTGGCCGTGGGGGGCACAGCCTCCAGTGTCTCCACTGTGGGGGGCGAGGGTCTCGGGAGCCTGCACAGCAGTGACCCTCACCTCCTGTTCCAGGATTCAGAGCAACTACCTGGCCCTGCAGAGAATCAACCAGGAGCTGGAGGACAAGCTGTACCGTATGGTGAGCGCCACCACCTGGGCGGTGTGGTGAGGGCCAGCACCTGGGAGGTGTGGTGAGCGCCACCACCTGGGCGGTGTGGTGAGGGCCAGCACC